TAGCAAAATCAAAAATTTAAAAACTCAGGCCATCTCTGAGGTTTCTTTTCCTTTTTGTAAACCCAACAGAGCATTTTGGAACAACCACCGATTGAAAAAATATTAGACAAACAAGTTAATTTCCATGGATGTCACATGTTCCATGCATAAATAGTATTTGCATTGGAATTCCTAAGTTGGCAGTAATTTTGGAACAATTCTGAGCCAAAATCATGAAAAAGGTTTTCAATATGTGTATAGTGTGCATATAACAATCCCACAATTCTTTCTTTTTTTCTATTTTGTCTTTAAATTGTTCTTTGCTTCCTTTTATTATCTGGATTCGCTTGCCCGAATCGGATTCATATCCCTACCAACGCAGCTGATCAATGAAAAAATATAATTTTTATTGAAACACGTGTATTTATGATTGCACGCTAAAAAAAATAAAGTAGAAATAATTTTTAAAAAAATTCTATTTTTATTGATTTGATCCATAGATAAGGCTATGAACTAGGTCCAGACAAACATTTTTCTTTATTATCACCCGTTTTAATTAATTTTTCTAATGATCCATTAGGTATAAATAAACTTAAAATGTGAAATTCGTTTATAAATAAGTTTTAGATAAATTCATTTGTAAATAAATTCTTTATATTTGGAATAAATTCAAATTTCGAAAATTCATTTACTTTTATTCCTAAAATTTCCTTGTAATAATAATTTTAGAAGGTTAAGAGGATTAATAGTTTTATAATAAAATTTTAAATTGTTTAAGTTTGTGAAATTGATTTGAAAATTTCCCACTATTTTTTGTAGAATTTAGTTTAGTTATACTCAAATCCATAGAATTGAATTCGTATAATTGAATTCTATTTTTTTTCCGAGCAAAACACAAAATTTAACTTTATAAATAAATTCCATAAAATTTTACGCAGCTCGTTTATTCCACAAACGAGATTAGTGTTCGCTAAAAATAAAAAAAAAAAAAGCAACCGTCGCTAATTCAATTATAAAAGAGACCCAAGAGCCGTGGATTATTCTCTAATCACTTATTTTGTCTTCGTTTAAGAATTCGACCGAAAGAGAAAACTGTCTAAAAATCTTAAACTTATGTCCAATCAGTGTCACCTTTTAGTTCTTATTATCCAAGTTCCAGTTCAGCCAATCCATTATTCAAACAGGACTGTCCACTTCCTAATTAAGTTTTATGAAAGCGAACTCATGATAAATAATTACCAATTTTTGCTTCTAGTTTATAGCCTCCTTAATGACTCTGTGTTAAGTATATAATCATGAAGAAAAAGAAAATTCATAAAGCTAGCTAGACACTCTCTTCTTTGAGAATTTATTTTATTTTTCTTTTTATAAATTTTCTAATTTCTTAATTATTTTTGAGCGTTTCTCTTTTCATATCTATATTTAAAATTTTCAAAATTTTTTCTTATCTATTTATATACTTATATATTTGTCAATAAATACACATCTATTTAATCAGTTTAAATAATTTTCTTTCAATTATTTGAGTTATGAACAAGGATCATATATTTAAATTTAAAATTCTTTACATTATTAAATATTTCTAAAATAAAATCTGGTACCAAAGCATTATGTGAACCGTCATCTAGTTGAAAAGATAAAATTTAATACGATTGGTCTATTATTTGTAAATTTAGTCAATTCAATAGAAAACATACCAAATAGGAAGATGCAAAAATGGAAAAATATGTATATAGTATCAAAAATAGACATATATGGAGTATTTTATGTATGTTTTCAGTGACCAAGGTTCTGAAACTGTCGGTCTCAATAAAGATCGCAAGTTTCAGTTTCAAATAAGTTCAAATTGAATTTATGAGTTGATGGAACTTTAAATTAACCTAAACCTATTTGAAAATTAACAACTGTTTCTGAAACTGTCGGTCTCAATTAAAGATCGCAAAGTTTCAGTTTCAAAATAAGTTCAAGATCGCAAGTTTCAGTTTCAAATAAGTTCAAATTGAATTTATGAGTTGATGGAACTTTAAATTAACCTAAACCTATTTGAAAATTAACAACTTATAAATAATTCCAAATATATATAGATATAATAATCACAAACTTGAGCTTCATGAAAAATATGAAGGATAATAACCAAGCAGAAAAATTCAATTTTTAGAACCGAATTTCTTGAATAATTGTTCAATTTCGGCATGATAACAACTTATTTAGACTCAATTTACGGGTCTATCTATGAATCAAATCAACGAAAAATATATATATATATTTTTCAGAAATGAGTTCTTTCTAACTATTTACTATGAAAAAAAAAAAGAGTAAAATGAGAACAATTTATTCATTTATTTTGTACCAAAAGATAATGTACAGGGTAATTATTGGCGGTTGAGCAATTTAAACATAATCAAAGACTTAATGCAATATTAAGTTATTGCATATTCTTAATCATTGACAACTCATTCTTTAGAAGTTTCTTTAAAAGTTTTGGCTATGTTTTTGTTTAGCAGGAACCGATCAACTCACTAATGTGAAAATTAGAAGCAAAAGTTCAAGAAATTAACACTGCAACTGCATGTTCCTAATTGGAGACAACGTTGGTGATGGTGATAGGTTATTTATTTAATTTCTTATCAAACAACGATAGGTAAATTGATAAGACAGAACATTTTATGCTACTGTTAATCCTTGACTACATTATTCTATGATTAATTATTTTACAGATAGAGAGAAAATAATGTCGAAATTTCCAAAATGTAGGAATTATCCAACTCTCAAGGCACATAATGTGTGGTTAGATAGATATAAATGTTAATTTGGATATAATTTAAATTTTTAATTATATTTTATCATATATTTATGTAGTATAGCAAAAGAAAAGATTTTGAAAGCAAAATTATTAAAATGCTTTACTTGAAATGGTAACTTTCTAATCCTAGTGATGATAAAATAAAATAAAAATAAATTTAAAATAACTTATGTAAGATTTATGTATAAAAATTCAATGGCAATTGCAAAAGGTAAATTCTAAATCTAAAATAAAATTTTAGTATTTTAATTTATTGTGAAAAAAAAATAAATTAGCCTTAAAATTACAGTCAAATTAATATATGAAAATCTCTATTTTTAAAAATTAATTAGAAAAACGGGATTCCTACTGAATTTTTTTTTATGAGCCAACAAGAAATATATTCTTTAATTATGATTACTGTTATATATATATATATATATGTTACAAGATGATTGTTTACATATGTAGAATGAACTATATAAGTAAACGTTACTGATTCTATGATAATTATCTCGTTCACATAATGTTTTATTAGAATGATTTTATATATATAACACACTATATTCTCAATTAAAGAAATATATTTCATGAATGAATTTATAGATAGAAACAGAGAATTACAAGGAATTTGTATGTTGTATATTTCTATATTAGCTAACTGAAATTAAAGCTAATTAAGATTAACTATTAAATTATGATTGAAGGTTCTGGAAAAATTGTCCTTAACAAAAAAAAAAAAAAAAAAAAAAACTGGAAAAATTGGTCCTAAAACAAAAAAAAAAAAAAAAAAAAAATAAAAAAAAAAAAAAAAAAAAAAAATAAATATATTAAGATCAAACATTAATATTTAACATGATTGGCTTAGAGAGATTGCAAGATTCTCATAATTGACACTTAATTTTCTTTGGAATTATATGGAAACTAGTCATAAATTTCGTCCAATAGTATTTCTCTAGAATAATTTTGTACGGGAATGTCCTAAATTCCACAAATATAATCGATTGGTCCATAAGAAAAAACTCAGTTTTCTTCGAATTTTCCTATTTTCATACTGAATTGTATCGTTTTGTTTTTTTGGCTCAATGCATAAATACACCGTATATTTTATGTAAAAAATTTTATAGCACCTTTAATTTTTATTTTTGATCTATTGTACACTTTAATTTATAAAATTATACCTATTGAATATTTTAACTTGTAAAAGTTATTCTACTAAATACTCTAATTTGTAAAATTAAATCGATTAAACACTAATTGGATAGTTGAAAAATGTGAAAATTATTGATTTAAAGATTATACTAACCACATATCAAGTGAATATTTTATATAAAAATATCAAAAACACCATAAATATGTTATTGCTAGTATAGAGAGAGGGTATAAGATTATAAAAATTTATAACTTTAGAGAAATAATGTCTCTCGCAAAGTTTGGAATGCCATAAAGTTGTTTCGTAAAATATACGGATAGATTTATGCATTCGGCATTTCTTCTTTCTATAACAAAAATATATAAATAAATTCTAATGATTCAATTGGGCTATTATCTTAATTTCAAAGTCAAGGTCTTCATTCATAAATTAAGTATTATCTAATAAAATATATGAAGCAATTTAGCTTAGCATTCTTTTCCACACCAGATAGATCTAGGTCTTTTTCATCTGTCATCTTCCAAATCCTTCAAGAACACAGCTGGTCATTCAACATTCTATTGAGCTTGGTCGAGTCATATATAAGCTCTAAATTGAGAAAATAATTGCTTGTGAAGGATATATATAGAAAATTGAAGAGGGTTTTTCTTTTTTTTTTTTTTTTTTTTTTTTTTTTTTTTTTTTTTTTTTTTTTTTTGAAATTTAATTAACCAACAAAACAAGAAACCTTAATTAATTAGTGATTAATCAATTTTTTTTTTTTTTTTTTTTTTTTTTTTTTTGAAAATTTTAAATTACCAACAAACAAGAACCTTAATTAATTAGTGATTAATCAATAATTAAGAAATTTAGCTAGAATTCAATCAATTAACTAAAAAGTCTGTTAACAAATTTTATGCTACTCACAAAATTCTGATTCGTTATATGTTGATTCACTAATAATTAGCTAATTCTTGTACGTTAATTGCAAGAAATAACTTTAAAATTAGTAGTATGATTTATCGCGCATGCGACATTTAATAGTTCGATAAGATTTGTTTCAAAGGCTGTAAAAATTTTCTTTTCTTTTCTGAAATACAATAATCTTCATTGATATACACACATATACAGAGAGATAAACCCCGCTATACTAACAGAAAAAATATACAAAGCTAAGGAGTTCACCCACCTTAAAATATTTTCATCTGAGAAGAAGGATTCAGTTTTTTGAGACTGAACCGTGTTTATAATATTGCTTAAAGCAATTTGAAGTGGGTACAAATTAAAATTTTCTGCACTAAATAGTAACTCATTAATTCTATTCAAAAGATCATCTTCTTGATGATGATCAAGAATGTCCTCTACTGATTGTTGCTTCAAATTAGGGCATTTTTTGAGTAAGCTTTCAATATAGGCTTCTAAATCATGAACATGAGACGGGTTTTGAATATTGAAGAAATCGACGAGTAATTCGACACCTACATGTGCATAACAAGAACAACTCCACGGGAATTCATATTTCCCTCCTAAAACCCTAAAATTTTCATTTAAAAGAACCCCAGGTAATTTTGTAATTGGGTCATTAACATTCACAATTCTCAGAACCTTAACCCCTAATTCCTCACATCTCTCTTTAAACCCAGCGTTCCCTACTCTAGGGCCTCCGAACGAAAAAACAGTCACCGGAATATCCCCTTTATGATTATTTACTCTATTCAATCCTATCTCGGAAATATCATAAGCAAGAAGAAGACCTAAAGAACTCCCCATACTATGCCCTGCTATAGATATACTAATTTCTTCTCCTTTGTACTTATTTAACAATCTTGACACTTCAGATAAAAGCTGTTGGCGGCAGCTTTCAAGACCAAACTTATCGTTGCTTTCACCCGAAGTGTACAAGTTTAAAAACCCTAATTCTACCTTGACTTCTGGGCGTGGATTAAGAGGGTCTAAGCGTGCAGGCTCGAGCGAGCTCATAAAATTTGCTACCCACTCTTGATTTGTCACCGTCCCTCGAAATGTGATCACTATGTCTCTTCGACCAAGCCTTTTAACTGTATCATCAGACGAAACAGCCACATATCCAATCCAGCGGCCACAAGAAGGAGTATCTTGGATTGGAATATTAACATCTGGGGTTACATAGATATATTTAGTGACTTGATAACCAGAATTTCCCATTCCAACTTGGTTTAACATGTTTTTCTTGCCATACTTACACGATAAGTATCGCGTAGAGTTAGGATCAAGATCAAAAGCTTTATAACACGCGGTCACAAACTCACCATATCGAATAATTTCTTGTCGGAGAAGATGGTGCAAGGGATCAACTAGCCCATCCCAGTTGTTGCAACCTTGAATCTCTCTCCAGAGAAGAGCTAATGGCTTCGAGTTACTGCTGCTCTTTTCTGAAATAGCAATTGAAGACGAAGATAACTTTTGTCTGGATAAAGAAAAAGATGAAGAAGGAAAAGTTTCAATACTTTTATTAGGCATACAAACTTGATTGGAAGAAGCAGAAATGGGTAAATTCTTTTTTCTTGGACAAGAGACATTTTTTACACTGTAACTGGAATTTGGCATGAAGAGTTTGGAAGCCATTAGAGAAGGAGAGAAGCTTAAAGAAAGAGAGAGAGAGAGAGAGAGAGAGACAGGGTATGGTTGGTGAAGCTAGAGTAAGGATGGATATATATAACAAGTAGTTAGGATGGACGGAAGGAGAGTAAATGCGACAAAAACCAAAGTAAAAAGGCATGTTTGGCGAGCATTTGACTAAAATGGATTGTGTTTTTTAAAGTTCTTTTTTAAGTTAATAAATATAATTGTATTTATTTTCTGGTTTCATAATTTATGTGGTCGGTTGGGTTTGTTTCACACAGTCATAGCTCTTTTTTGCTGCGTAATCCAGAAAATTTAAATAATAATTAACAATATTGTTAGCCTTTTGCTGCTTCCCTTGTATCTGAAGTTGACTTCCGACCCTTCAAACCATTCAAATTGAGTTCTCTGTACTCTCGGTTTATGTCTCCACCCATGAACTAAAGTATTATTGAAACGATAATATTTTTAATTATTCATCAGGAAAATAAATAAATTGAAAATAATTTTAAAAAATTTTTATTTTCATCAAGCTGGCCGGTTTATCTAAATTGTATGAATCGAGTCTAAATAAGTTTTATTCCGAACAATTAATCTGAAATTTATCGTTTTTAGATAGAGCGAGAGAAAGAAGAAGATTGAAATTTTTTTTTTCAAAAAATAATCATATATGTATGTTTGATGTTAGATTTTTTGTTTTTGTTTTTTTTTTTAAAATATTATGCCTTGGTGTGCATAATTGTTATTAAATATTAAATAATAATGAAATATCAATTTTTTTTGGTAAATGAGAGGCCCAATGGATCGAAATAACACTGTGGGCTACACAATAGGGGTAGCCTTCCTCTTTAAATGACATTCACTAAATTAGTGATAATTTTTTGTGGCAGACTCGAACTCGAGACCTCCAACTCTCTATATCTTTTATAAGAAATAAAAAAACCAATCAATCCACACACCCGATTGGCAATGAAATATCAATTTTACTCTTTAGCGCAGATACTTATGTTATAACATATTATACTAGTTGGATCAAAATCTTTATATCTTACAATTTAACAAAAATCTTTATATCTTACAACCTTCCGAAAATACAGTTTTTTAATTAACTTTTCAACTAAATTGTTGAAAATATGATAGAAAAGAAGGAAGAGGAGGATATTCCACCTAAGTTTTTAAGCATAAAATATTAAAAAACGCTTACTTACACTCGATGTATAAGTACATTCATACATTAATTCAATTCACAAAAACTATTTGAACAAACAAAGACATTTTGATCTTCGGAGAAAAAAAAAAAAAGGTAGTACGGTACTAAATTTTTGACAATTTTTCTTAAATGATATGTAGAAATTGGCTTAGAATGTTCTTGGATCATATATCATGTGTAAACAATTATTTAATTAGATTTTTTTGACTTTTATTGATTAATAGGAAAAGTACATAAATTCTAAAGAAATGAATTCATAGTTTGACAATTTAAAAATACAAAGACTATTAAATTAATTTCAAGCATAGAGATCCTAGATAATATAATTTAATATCTATAATACAAAAGCTAAATAAATTAAAAATAAAGATTCTGAATAATTTAATATGTTGATACCCCTATATCTTTTTTTGCTTGGTACTGTTAAGTTTTTCCTGAACAATATTAATATTAATAAAAAAATAATTGAATTTACTGATAAAAAAATATAATGATTTTCTTTTTTTTCTTAAAAAAATAATTTTATATGTACACATTCTCAAGCTTATAACATTATGATCCTTAGGCTGTCAATGTTTTTTTTTTTATCACTAATATATATACATATTCATTTTATTAATTTATATCTAGGAAAAACTTAGCATTTTTAAGTTTTTAAATCCAAACCATCAGGTTTCCAAATACATATTCATTTTATTAATTTATATCTATTTATCACTAATATTATACATATTCATTTTATTAATTTATATCTAAGGAAAAACTTATAGCAATTTTTAAGTTTTTTCCAAAACCATCAAAAGGTTTTCCAAATACCATAATTTCATTTTATTAATTTTTAAGTTTTTAAATCCAAACCATCAGGTTTCCAAATACATATTCATTTTATTAATTTATATCTAGGAAAAACTTAGCATTTTTAAGTTTTTAAATCCAAACCATCAGGTTTCCAAATACATATTCATTTTATTAATTTATATCTAGGAAAAACTTAGCATTTTTAAGTTTTTAAATCCAAACCATCAGGTTCCCAAATACATCTAATTTAACAAAGAGAAGACTTTCAAACTTTCTCTTTGTTTTGACATATATATATATTGAATTCTCTACTTTATATTTATAAATTTTTGATTGGATAATATTGTTAAATTTCAGAAATATGAATTAATTAATATGCATTTAAACATAATTATAAAAAGCAATTATTTGTTTCTAATTAACTGATAATATTGTTCACTAGTACATTTTTATATTTCTACAATTTCAAGGCTTTCTTAATACTTTTAAAATTTAATTATAATTTTGAAATTTTAATCTTTTTCTTTATCTATATCTATATTTTTCTTTTGAATTTTTTAAACCTATACCTATACCTATTTAAGTATAAAACAAACTTTCAATGCTCTTCCATCTCTTTCTCTTACCCTGTCTCTAAACACTTTCGTGTTCAAAAATCTCTCGCTTTCTCGATTTTTCTTGAGGTAAGCTCTTAATTTTCACTCTTCCAATTTCACTCTCAGTCTCCTTTAATATTTTTTCTTTTAATTTTTATTTATTTAATTATTTGATTAGATATTAGCATTCCCTTCTCAATTATTAACATAAGGCTAACCATCATCATTTTTTTTCTATATAGATCACATGCTTAGAGAGATTGCAAGATTCTCATAATTGACAGTTAATTTTTCTTTGGAATTATATAGAAACTAGTCATAAATTTGGTCCAATAATGTTTCTCTAGAATAATTTTGTACGGGAAGGTCCTAAATTCTACAACTATAATCGATTGGTCCATAAGAAAAAACTCAGTTTTCTTCGAATTTTCCTATTTTCATACTGAATTGTATCGTTTTGTTTTTTGGCTCAACGCATAAATTCACCGTATATTTTATGTAAAAAATTTTAAAAATACAAAGACTATTAAATTAATTTCAAGCATAGAGATCCTAGATAATATAATTTAATATCTATAATACAAAAGCTAAATAAATTAAAAATAGAGATTCTGAATAATTTAATATGTTTTATACCCCTATATCTTTTTTTGCTTGGTACTGTTAAGTTTTTCCTGAACAATATTAATATTAATAAAAAAAATAATTGAATTTACTGATAAAAAAATATAATGATTTTCTTTTTTTTCTTAAAAAAGTAATTTTATATGTACACATTCTCAAACTTATAACATTATGATCATTAGGGTGTCAATGTTTTTTTTTTTTTATCAGCAATATATAGATATATTCATTTTATTAATTTATATTCAGGAAAAACTTAGCATTTTTAAGTTGCTAAATCCGAACCATCAGGTTTCTCAAATGCATCCAATCTAACTCCAAAATGCTAAGTAAAAAAATATAGAAAACCTCAACTTATATAAGATTCATCTCTTCTTGAGATAAAAATATATAAAAAAAAAAAAAGTTTAAAATCACAATATTGAAACAGCCTAACAAAGCAAAACGAAGCTAAAAAATCATCAAATGCTTCAACACCCTTCTTTGCGAAAGAATCTCTAAAGCAAATTTATTCTCTAAAGTTATAGAATTGGCTATAATAATATTATTGATGGAAAAATATTAATTTTGTTGATAGAGAAGGACATTATGTGGAAGTAAAATAAGAAACTTAAAAACTTTCCTCTAAAGGATGAATAATGTTATAACTTAGGATACGCGACAGAAAACTAAACCTATATTTATGAAATGGAGAGCTTTTAGAGGTTATAAGGTAGCATTTTATAAAAGTTCTATAAAAGCTTAATACATATAATGTTTAACTTAACTTTTAGCGTTTTACGAAAAGTTTTTTACGAAAAGTAACTCAAACAGTTAAAACATTACTACAATAGCTGATAACAAGCAAAACAGCTAATTTTGCCGAACAAACGCTTAATCTACTTTTATATTATATAAAACAACGCTTAATCTACTTTTATATTATAATATATATATATATATATATATATATATATATATATATATATATATATATATATATATATATATATGTTTTTTTTTTTTTTTTTCAAGCTAGTTGTGAGTGGAGAAACCTAATGACTTAGGGTAGATTCCTTTTTTTTTTTTTTTAATTCTAATAAGAAAATATTATTGCTGATGAAAAAATAATAGAGAGATCTTTTTGTTTATAAAGTGGCAAACAGAAAGGTGGCTTTTGGCTTAAAAATATTTATTTATTTATTTATATTTATTTATTAGCTTTAATCAAGGTAAGTCTTCAAAATATTAATATATTAAAGAAAGAGTGTTTCCCTTTTTTTTTTCTTTTGACCTTTGAATTATGATGCATATTATTAATGAAAGAAATGATCGATACAGTCGGGAGCACTATCCCAAGTTTGAAAACAAGCCTCACTAGGAACTGATTTAGCCAACACATGAGCTATATTATTTGCTTGTCTTCTAATCCAAGCCAAGGTGACATAAGGCAATTGGACTAAGAGTAGCTTATATTCAGAGATGACAACTCCAAACTCAGATCAGTCGTGGGTAGAACTCTTCAGAGCATGATAAACTTGCAAAAAACTTGCAGACAATCGGTCTCAATCTGAATCTTCAAGCTGGAGTAGCCCGACAGCAACCAAGACAACACTGTTCTTAACGCCTGAGCTTCTGCTACTGCAGGAGAATGACAACCTTGCAAGGAAGACGTTGCTGCTGATACAAACCCACTATTACAATTTGAAATTACAGCACCAAAGGCTCCATGGCGGTCAGAGGGGAGAAGAGTTCATGCTTTGAATTTTAGAGTATGAAATGGACAGAAAAGTATT